TATTGATATTACCACACTATACCATATGGTATAGACTGGTAATAACTGGAAAAAAATTTGTGTCAAAAAAATATCAAAGTGGATATCATTTTGAAGAGCATAATTAATCTGATCTAACTGTGAAAAAAAATTAAATTTCGACTTAAAACGAGTGAGAAACGTTAAAGATTAAAAGAAGGAAAATTAAAGGTTTTTCGATGAGAGAGAAGGAGGTCCTGATGTGGTCGGTCAAAAGTCAGCGCGTCAGCAATAAATAGGGGATAAGTGCATTTTACCTTACTGCCCTTCCGCATTTAATTTAAATAAAAAAGTAGACTAATACGTGGAGATCAGCTGATGGGTTACTGACCCATCAGTTACTGACAAGATCCGCTCCCCAGCTGAGACTGAGACCAGGAAAGTTGAACTAATAATTATTCGCCAAAACAAATATCAGTGGGAATCGCATAGGGTTCCATTCAAATCAGTTACTGTTCTGTTTTCACCCTATGAGTCATGAGACGCTGTTTCTAATAAAGAAAACACAAAGAATGAAGCAACTTTGCAGTCTACAAACGGGGGATCGAAGAAAAAACTTCTTAAAAAGGTTAAAAATAATTAAGCAGCCAACTACTCCCAATAATTATTTGTAACTATTTAACATTGAATCCTTATCGTGGATATGCATAATTGAAGATATATTCATATCCGATTGACGTTTTGTCCAAGAGAAGGCAAAGCAAATCATGTGAAAATGGGAGACAGCAAAGTTCCAAAGGTTTTTTCGTACAAAACTTTTCAGGCCTTGTGAATATGTGATTCTGATTCTCTTGGGAAGCTGTTCATCTCTCTTGTTTTTTCTCCTTTTTGTTGTCTTGTTTTTTTCCTTTTACTCTTGTTCATGGAAGAGACCGGTGATGGGGTTCATTAAACTGGTGAAAGAGACATGATACGATGCACGCACCCAGTCTCCTGTCCAGTGTGTTTTTTTGTGTTTTCCCTGTCAAAAAATTGGGTGTTGGAATCAAACATCACTTCTGGCAATGGCTTCACAATGTCATGTATTATCGTATGCTGTCGAAGAGAAATCCGCACAATGAGCAAAAGAATCAATCTGATTGTTTTGAGATGAAATCAGCGCCAACAACAAATAGGGGAATGGACCTCAATTCATTTAGCATATATGATTATACTATGTATATGTATGAAAGTCTATTGGTATGAATATGTTATAGTGTAGAATGGTTATATATATGATAATCTTTTTATCACCGTTCAACACCAATTACCATTCTATACCAAGGGTGTATATTTGCTCCAGAATTTTATTTTTTTCTTCAAAATTTTGTAGATCAAATAGATCACGATAAACTCGTTTCTTTTGGGCCAATTTTAGTAAAATTTGAGTATAAAATAATGGTGGTAAAGTAACGAGCGATATGGGTAGTACGAAATCATTTTCCTTAAAATATATTTAAAATAGATATCATTCTGTAGATCACAACGAATTCGTTCTATCTGTGGAAAAAAAAATTGAAATTCAATTTAAAACAAAGAAGATAAAGCCATGAGAAATAAAAGGATCTTTACCTCACCCCTTCGATTTAACTCATTTGAAAATTAAATGGCCATATTTGATTATTTATAAGTGTATAATAAGGAGTTATTGACCCTGTTCGATACCCTAAAAGTAGTGATGTCAATTGTTGACCTGACTCATGCAACTCGATCTGTCGCGACCTGTTTAGGGCAGGTATTACCTGACTCGTAATAGCGCGACGGGGCATAGGAATTGCTTTCGTACTGCCCTGCCCTATCTCGTTCTTGACATGTTATATAATGATTCGCATTTATATCTACATGTATTTTTCATGTTTTGATTTTCTCAAATCATGTTATCATCCAAAGGAATTTTTATGCTCTATCTTTCACTATTTAGACTTAATTATTCCTTCTATTATATTTCTCATTCATTTATTCACGGTTGTCTCCATGTGTGCTCGTAAAGAGTTAACTTCATTCTTTTATCAATGCAATGTAGTTGGGCTCTCATGTCGATCCGAATGAATCATCCTTTCCACAGAGGTAAATTTTCAAATCAAATAGAAGGAACGTGGACCACAATGTACTTCTGTTACGATATTTCTAGCCATACATTGGGGTACCTACTCTAATTGTCTTAGGGCAAGCATAACATACAAGCACAGGTAAAATAGTTCATTCGGATAGCGATAACCCTGCAAAGAGCTCTATTTCGACAAGAACATGTGATATAGCATTTTCAATAGCTACATCTTGATAAGAACATAAAGGAAAGAAGAGCTAAGCACTCAATCCTATCCCCCAATCACTACTTAAGACTTAAGAGGGAGTCTGGATCCCACATATGCATAACCTTCCAATTTAACACCCCATTGCAATCACTATTCACTACCTAAGTGAGAGTCTGGATCCCACATATACCACAACCTTCCAATTTAACTGCAGAGTAAATAAATTAATAAAGTAAATAGACTAAAAGGAGCAAAGAAAGAAAAAAAAAAACAAGAAATGGAAAAAGATGATCCTTCCATATTTAAAGTTTAATCCCACTAAGTTGGACTTCCATTCTCAACTCTGCAAAATTTTCAAATATGACTCGTTTACTTACCATGATTTTGTTAACTACGGCGCTAATTTTGACGAAGAATGACTATGAAATTGTATTTCAAAAGATTTGTCTATTATTTTACACAAGATAAATAAATTGACTATTAAATTGTTTTGGTTCTACAATTTTTGCTGACATATCCAAATGCAACATCCGCATCGGCACTTACATCAGTATAATTTGTCACGTCAAAATAGTTCACGTTTGACTAGTTGAAAAACTAACAGATTGGTTATTATATTATTTTCAAAAGATTCGACTATTATTTTGTTTAAAATTAAATTATTATTATTATTATTATAGTTTTTTAATCCCTTATTATCAATTAGGTTAGGTATATTAGTGTCTGGTCTATAAAAGCAAATAATCTCTCCCTGTCTCCCACCAAGCTCGATTCCACACTCATACCCTCTGTTCCTCCATTATAGATAGCAGAAGGTCCTAACTTCATTGGACCATTGTGTTTCTGAGGGGAAAAAAAACAAACAAAAAGGGTGATAGCAACCACTGCATCCATTCCATCCGAGCCAAAGAATTGTTCATGCAGAATTCGTGCTGTCGGTCACATGCTGACAAGCACAGGGATTTTTATTAGTGTAAAACAGGGGAGTGCAATGAAAAGTGGTGGGGGGAGGGAAGCAAAAGTAGGGATAAATCCTGCAAGGGCAAGGAAAATGAAAAAGTCTTGAGAACCAAAGCTTCTACTTCAGCTTCTTTAATTATGTTGAAGGCTCCTCCTCCTTCTCCCTGTCAATTTACCCTTCACCATCATTGTTTTTCCTCCATCTAATGACCCTGTTTGGAGATTGTTCTTCTTCTGCTTATATATCATTGCTAAACAGTAGACCTGGCAATCCAGTCGGGTTAGGGCATCGGGTTGTGGGTCGGACCAGGTTGGGTTGACTGATTTTGGGTCAAATATTGACCCAGCCCATTCGATTTTGGGTTGGGTTATAGATCATTTCGAATTATGATCGCTCTCAAAAACAATATCAAACATATTTCATGTTTTCTTAAAGAACACAAATTTTCACATATGCATGCCAATAGTTTACCTAACACATGTCAATTAACATATTCTCAAATCCTTCCATGATAATGAAATGAAATACAAATTGCGCAATCGTCATAAAACAATCACAAGTGTACAAGAAACACATGATGTTTGATTATCCTTAAACTCCAAAAATGTCTTTCAAATCCTTGTGAATTTTTTTAAACATCTCATCAATTTATTAGTGATTTTATCATTTTGAAAGTGACATAAAATGTAACGGGTCTAACAAGTCGACCTGCTAACCCACCCAACTCAACCCAAAAATCACAGGTTAATCAAGTTCAGGTCATTTGGGTTTCAAGTCATAAAAACTTCTGTCTTTCGAAAGGGCCTGGATCGGCTCGACGGGTTTATTTGTAATTTTCCAGTACTACCAAACAGTTAGCAAAGTGATAAGAACTTCCCAATGTGTCCTTGAATGGTGGTTCCCAGCCCCACTCTTCTAATGCACAGAGTAATGGTGTTCTAGACAGTGGGGCTTACATTTACCACAAAAATGCTGTGAATAACAGATCTCTCTCAGCAATTCATAAATTACACTCTTGTTAGAAACTGCAACCAGCAGGGCCTAAGAAAATAACACTCTTTTTGTGGGCTGTGAATGACCATTTGTTCTCTCCCGTTAATACTCTGGTCCAGAGGGTTGTCAAAGTGTTTAGTTGTTTGTGGTGCTTTCAATGCCAGAGGATTTTGGCAAGGGAGCATCTCCATTTTCAGAATCATCAACAGGGAAGCGTGCCAGTCAGGGGAACCCACAGATGTAACCCAATAAGTAAATTGCGTAGAGCACAAGTGTACATAGTAAATAACTGTGCAGGAGTCAAAAATTGATGATCCAAGAGAAAAACCAAACAGAGTTCTTTATGTACATTACCACATCTGAAGGACCTGACAATTCCAGATATACGATCGCTTGTTTTCTCTTCTTTTATGGTCAAGAGAAAATCTCTGTTTTTTCTTTTTCTTTCATTTTAAGGTACAAACTCGAAGGTAACTGTTGGATCCATTATTGTCCCTGCTGTTCTTCCACACAAGCGATGTAAGAAACTGCAAAATACTCACTATTGTGCAAAATACTATCATCATCGGAACCCATCTTCACGAGGTTCTTATTTGCTCTGGCTTAGTAACATCGTCATCAGAACACATCTTCGAGATGCCCTTATTTGTTATGACGTAATAACCCTCTCCAAACTACTTATTTCGAGTAACCGGCATATCGTGCAGACGACTGTGTAACAACAAAACTACAAGGCTGAGAATCACTACTAGAAGGCGGAAGCTCTTTTATACTTCACGAGGAATGATGACCCTTCATTTTCTGACAAAGGAAACCCCCTTTTGAATGCTTTCTGCTAATTCTTTCTTTGCCTTCTCCAAGCCAGCCCTATCAGTACAATTGCAGATTTTGATTTTGCTGAAGTTGGTAGCCTAGTTGTATGAGAGTGTGCATAAATTTTACTTACCTTTCATACTCGTTAAGGGGGCCAAGTGGGTAAATTTCTTCTACTCCAGCACGGCCAAGCCGTACTTTTGATGCGAAGAAAGGAAGCTCTGTCACCTGTGGATATATAAATAACAGAAGATCCAAGTTTCAGTAAGTGCATTGGCCAACCAATCCTATTCAGTACTGTGATAAGAGAGATCCATGCAAATAAGCTTTTGATACTAGAGCATACTTGAGAGGATACATAGGCGCACTCCACGACACCAGCATCTCCTCTCAACCCTCTAAGACAAGCATCTGCAAATTTAACGGCAGCATAGGCCTGCGATTTTCATGGAGGGTAGTGAATCATTGTTCATAAGTACAAATTTCCCCCCTGCAAAACAGGTTCAGCAGGAAAATAACATGGATGAAGACTGCAGCAACCTACCATGGATAGTGTTGCAGAACCGGTGCCTGCTTTTGCCTGCCAAAGGTTCCAGTGTGTCAATCCAAGGAGATAAATAACATAACATAAGCAGGAAGAATATCTTTAAAAAAGCCCATTAAACCAGTTTGCTGATTTAACCCAACTGATTCCATGATTAGTCTGATTTCAGCTTTCGAACCAAACATTGAATTTGAAAGACGCAACAAATTGGTATGAAGTTCCTTCATGGATAAGGTTCTATTATGTGGGAGGAAGGTGCTTAATCATATCCAACTTAAAAAAAAAAAACATATAGTATATTCTACACAACAGCCAAAACTGATCGCTTCTTAGTTTCCCATGAACTTCTCAGTGTCCCTAGGTAAAGGCAGGGAGTTTGTTTATCCCATCTCAATTATCTCAGAAACATCCCATAATCCATGATCTTCTGAGAGGGAACTAGATTGTGTTCACCCAGAACAGGAAAAAGAAGAAAAGGTGTATCCGGAACATGATTATGTTTTCCCTAAATCTGTCCAAAACGACTATGATTATTATTTACCCTTTCTCCTTCCCCAGATGGAAGGGTAGGTTGATGGAGCAAGTGAGAAAAGGGATAATGGGGATAGTTGCTAGCATTGGGATGTTTGGTTCTTTGTCTCATGTAGCCAACTTACCAATGCCTAAAACTAAGACAGCATCCTGTAAGAGCTACAACCTTTGAAAACATCTCCAACAGAAAAATTACCTAAACCTAAATTGGCCAAAAGGTTAACCAGAACATTGTCCAGACAACCAACTAAAATGAGTGAAAATTTAACAACCAGAATTTAAAAAAAATCCGTGTTCAAGAGACTTATTCAGCTTATCATTTTAAACCTCATGACGGAACAATTGAGCCTTGAATGAACTGATAAGCACTGAAACAACAAGAAAATAGTGAAAATCAATTCTCACCTCAACAACTTCAGTACCACCATTTTGAATGCGATCAGTCAAGTAACCGATTTCTTTCTGGGTGAAAGAGCATGGAGGTTTAACCTGTAGAGACCAGTATAATGAGTACTTCAGAAAAGTTAAAAAAAAAAAATAGTATGACCCTCGAAAATTTAGGTAATCTGGAATTGGCTTGAACCTGTGATAGGAGAGGTAAAATAGTAACTCCGGCATGACCCCCAACAACTGGACAATCGACTTCCCTTGGATCAAGACCCATAACCTCACCCTGCACCCAACGATTCATAGGGGGGAAGAATGAATACATGAAATAATGGATTGAAACCAAATAACAGTTAATCATCCTAGTATTAGTCAAAAAGTGCATATTGAGACCGATCGCTGCATGCAGTTAGGTATACGAGTTACTTTCCCAAATATAATATGATACTATTGTATAACCAATCAAAAGCATTGAATCGATAATTCAGCAAAACATTGTAGTGTTTCACCCTCAATATCCATCATACATTACAAACAGAAGGCTACCAAGAATATGAGTATAGAACACCCTGTCGGCAATTAATAAAACAAAATCATACGTTACAGCAACTAGCTTACCTTAGATTATTGTCCTGCACAGATCTTAATCTTACTTCTGCAAATTTTTTAAGGGATGGCCAGAAATAAAAGCAGACAAAGAACTTGGTTTAACAACAGAGACTTTATACTTTTTTCTTACCACAAAGGTATTAGCTCTAACAACATCAAGCATTGTGACTCCCAAAACCCGCCTTGGATCATACGTTCCAGCTTTCTTGAAAACTTCAGCTGCAATTGGTACCGTTGAGTTTACAGGATTACTAATTATATTGACCATGGCCTGAGGAGAGCACTTAGCAATTGCTTCACAGAGTGTCTTAACAATTCCAGCATTGATGTTGAATAGATCATCCCTTGTCATTCCTGGTTTTCTAGGGACACCAGCAGGTATGATCACAACATCAACTCCCGTGACAGCATCTTCCAATTGCTGCTGCCCTAAGAACCCACGTACCTTGGAGAGCAAGAAAACAAAAGGAACACCATAAAAAATGTTGCAGTTCCAGTGAAAAATATAACAAATAGCAGCCAGTATATCGGTTTAACAGGGCATAGTAAACTCGGTAGTTCAATGCAGCTAGATAGTGACTAAAGTTAGTGTCCTTGTCCTGGTCCAATATTGACAAAGACAGAATTCGGGTGAAGATTCCATCTCTTCAAATACTCGATCTCAGATTAGAGAATACAAAGGAGAAGCAATCAACAGATTGAGGGCGCCACTCTATTAAACCATTACCAGCACGTTTCTGTCTTCATAACTCAAAACCCAAAATCAAAATCATTAACTAGTTAGAGAATTATGGAGTTGCATTTGCACTTTGCAAGCCTTCCCATTTCCAGTTTCCAACTTTCAACTAAGCAAAACAAAAAATTGGCAAATCTAACCAATCGATTCCGCAACAAAAAAAAAGATCATCGCATTTGTCTTACCACTGCACCAGTATCCATGTGACTAATATCAGCAGTGACGCCATGGGTATTGACGACATCATACAAATGAAGGACAGAGACCAACGGATTCATCTTCATCAACATCGCCAGCGGCTGCCCAATCCCACCTGCCGCTCCCAGTATCGCCACCTTGAACCCGGAAGACCCGCCTTTCGCCCTGCAATTCCACCGGGCTGGGGCCGAACTCTCTCCCATCTGCGCGTGTTCGAAAGAGAAGATTATTGAAAAGAAAACTCATCATTCGAGACGGGAAAACCCCCCAAGATAGAAAGCACAGTTTTTTTTCCCCCTTCTGGAATGTGGAAATGAACCTGGGTATTGGGAGGGTTGAGGTGGGCAGCGATCCTGGCAATGCGCTGATTAGGCTCTGAAGAACACGAAGTCGACTGCATCTCTCCCGACGAAGATAAAACAGAATGAAGAGCTCTGATAGAGAGGATGGGCGAGGTGGCGATTCTTGTGAATAAGGGAAGACTATTTTGATCAATTATTATAGTTATGGCCAGAATCGGGATGCGTGCAAACTGGGAAACCGATCTTATCCGATCACCGCTGCTGCTTCAGAAATGCTACAAAATTTTGCTGTTGTTTATATTCAAGCAAGCTGCATCACCGCGAGACTTCCCTCGTTGTTGGTTACAAACCGTCGTTGTGGATGATGATGAGAGTAATACAATTCGGAAATTTTGCTTTGGCTGGGATTTTAGAGGCAAACAAGAAGAAAAAACGTGATTGTTTTCGGGGAAAGCTGAGGAAGGGAGGATTGGGCCAAACCTGACCATCCAAGTTAACGGTCAAATATCGGGTTTGGCAAAATTGTTTATTTTGGTGTAAAGTTCGGGTCAAGATGTTATAGATCGAAAAGATTGATCAGGATGTTTATTTTGGTCAAAGTTCAGGCCGTACGAAAATATTAGGGTTAATACCTTAGTTTGGCCCGAACTATACACATACTTTCTACTTTGGCCCGTGGTATTGGAAATTGCTATTCTGGTCTGAACTTTGTAGCAAACTTTCTCATTTGGCCTGGAGGTGGGTTTGCCGTTAAATTAGACGGTCAAACTTGTTGACCGTTAGTCAATGTCCACCTCACCTGCCACGTTAGCTTTGAGGACATAAAATGTATTTTTTTTATTTCTGAATTTTATTTTCTTGTCATTTGCTAAAAATGTGCCTTTTTCGTTTTTTAATTATTATTTTTATTTATAATTTTTATTAATCGAAAGAAAACAAAATTCTGAAATAAAAAATAATAATTGTTATGTCCTCAAAGCTGACGTGGCAGGTGAGGTGGACATTGACTAACGGTCAACAGGTTTGACCGTCTAATTTGACAGTCAAACCCGCCTCCAGGCCAAATGAGGAAGTTTGCTACATAGTTTAGGCCAGAATAGCAATTTCCAATACCACGGGCCAAAGTAGAAAGTATGTGTATAGTTCAGGCCAAACTAAGGTATTAACCCAAAATATAAACCCTAAATTTTATTGGTAGTGTTTACATTGGGTAGGAGTGGTATTCTGGTGCTTATTGTTTTGGTAGTGATGCTAAATTTGTTGGTAGTGTTTACATTGGGTAGGAATGGTGTTTTGGTGCTTATTGTTTTAGTAGTTATGCTAAATTTTATTGGTAGTATTTACATTGTGTTATTACTTACCGTTTGGTATAAATGAATTTCATAAGTTTTGAGGAATTCATTTTGAAATGAATTATTTTTGTGTTTGGTATTTAAAAGAATTCATTTTCAATTCTAAATTTGGAATTCTACGGAATTGGATCTAATTATAGCAATTCCAAGGAATTGAGATGGAATTTCCAAATGAATTCCACAAGTATTTACTAAATTACTCTTTTATTAACTAAATTACTTATACATATGATATACCAAACACAGGAATTCATTTGACAATGAATTATACACGTCAATTCATTTTCTTTCTAAAGATTTTAATATGACATACCAAACACAAGATTTCATTTGACAATGAATTCTACACGGTAATTCATTTTACAATGAAATGAATTATCGATTCATTTGGTACCAAACATAGTGTATATCTATTTCGATAGATTGGTATTCAATATTGAAAATGAGTTGTTTGACCACTTCCAGAAATACCAATATCATTATAGAAATAAAACAAGAAATCAATGTCAAAACATAAAAAAAAACTATACCAATACAACCAATCGAGACGAACCTATACAACCAATACAACTACGGAAAAAATAGTATCATTACACGGCAAAAACTACCAATATAAACAATCTATACCATTATAAGAATCAATATCAATCCATTAAATAAATACTACCATTGCACAAAACGCCAATACCATTCGAGAAATAAAAACACTACCATTTGACAAAACACAAATACCATTGCATATTTAATCAATACCAATGCGACAAAAACAATACCAATACCACAAAAACAATACCAATGCGACAAAACAAAAAAACAATACTATACCGTTTCCTAAAACAAACAATCAACCACTACCAAAATAAAACAAAAAAACATATATAGATTTTTATGTTTTCCTCAGTCGTCTCTTGGGGAGAGAGAGAGAGAGAGAGAGGACATGACGAGGAGGAAGGGGAGGAGGTTGGCAGAGGAGGGGAGGGGGAGGGAGAGGGGAGGAGGTTGGCGGAGGGGGAGAGAGAGGGCAGAGTAATGGCAGGCGGTCGTTGTCGTCGATACGAGAGAGAAGGAGGCGGGCGGTAGTAGTGGCCGGGAAGAGATGTGGCTGGGAGAGAAATATATATTATTAGGGTTGAAAAGAGAGAGAGAGGGTGAGATTATAGGGAATAGGAATCAGATGCAGTAAAATTTTGATTTTCAAAATTATCCTAAATGAATCTTGACCGTAATATTAAAATAGAAGAAAAAATAGAAAATCCGATGGTGTACAAAGAGGTTGCCACGGTGGCTACCAAAAAACTAGTACCCACTCTAACCCATTCCAGATAGATAGCCAATTGGTTATGGACCGGAAGCGAGCGGGCTTTCTTCTATTTTTCATTTTTCACTATTTGGGTTAAGGATTGGCAAATAGAAAAAAGACAATTTGGATTGAGGAATAAGGATCTCTCATCCATCCATCCATCCATCCATCCATCCAGATAATACAGCTTTAGGCGAAGCAACTAAGCATCTTCGATTGCTATATGCTTGCGATTGATGTGTTATTGACTATTAATGGACTGTCTTGGGCGCCACTCATTCAAATGTGAAGGGATCGGTGTAGAACTCAACCTCGAGTCTCGTGCGTATAAATAACTTAGCAACTACTATTAAGAATTAGCTGCGAATGTAAGTGCGTATGAATACTGAAAGAGTACATAATTTATACGGAATACGACTCCTAATGGGGAGTCTGCTTGAAAGCGTGCGCCCTGCACCCACCCTGGGTATATACTTAAACAGGAGATCACCAAGTCTTCGTGATCTGCTGTCGAACTTATTCCAATTTCAAGATCTAATATCGAATTGGTATATACTCAATACTGATTCGATCCTGGATCTTGGCGTATCCGTTTTTATAGGTTTTTTATTAGAAGAGGGAGTGTCAAGTCACATAAGAAGCAATTATTCTTGTTGAGGGCGCCTCCGCCAGTTAGCCGCATGGATGAGCTTACACTAACTCGTCAATTTGGGGATATGAGAGTGAAAATAAGAAAGGTGGCTCGCTACTAACTATATCTATCCCAATCGAAAGCCAAGTGCAACTTTCAATCAGATATAATATGAAACAAGTATTTTTAAATTATCAAACCCGGGCGGTCTATCTACCTATACTTCAGCAACCTAAGCATTATCTAGCGATCGATTAGTTGTTTTAAACTAACAAAAAAAAAACTAGCATGCAAGTAAATTGTGATTGGATCCAAATTGAGAAAACCTCACTTGGATGAGCTTCCCGCAAGTCCCATGTTGAGTCGATATTGTGATAGCCTAGCACAATTCATACTTAGTATATACTGTAGGAGTTCCAAGCTAGTTATGAGTCTCTATTCGAGTTTTCTAACCCGTGCAATTGCTCTACGCGGAGAGGCTTACTGAATTATGACCTAGGAAATTGGGGCAACCAAATCCACTCCTCAATTAGGTAATGACCCAGAAACGACGCAATGAGTTTAATCACACATGTTCATAGACCACAAAGCGTGGACTAGAATATTCTCTAAATTGACCCTAAGAAGGTATTCTCTCACTTAGGTTAATTAATCCCAAATATTGGGGAAGTGGTCAAGAAACTCAAATTTTCATGAATAATGTACAAATCAATATACAATCAATCATGCAAATCAACACATAGGTTTCACAATCATTCAACTACAACATAATAGGTGATTCAGGTCTAATTGTACACATTTTACCCCTAATTTCTTGACAGTTTGGTTTTGAATTTCATCGTCCCTTGACATATTTCACACTAGGTTGTGCTTGTTATGATACTTTTCAGATCCTAGCACGTGTGGAGGGGTCGAGGGCAAGTTTCGGGACAATTGGAGGTGAAAAGCGCATAAACTGAAGAAAAGTCCAATGCCCGTGACCGTGAAGTGCGGGCGCCCAGGAAAGTAGTCGTTGTTCACGACCCGAGCTGCGAGTTTACGTTCGCCAGGACCGTGAACTGGAACCACAAACTGTGAACCGAAGGGCGTCGAGAAGAGTTTCAAAGATTACTGACGCTCAGGTAGTTCACGGTCGTAAGACCGTGAACTGAAGCCATGGACCGTGAACTCAACAAATAAAGTGGCGCATTTTGGGCTGTGTTCACGACCCCGGACTGATGTTCACGACCGTGAACTAGGACCGTGAACTGGGCGTGACTGGGTATAAATAGAGAGCTCAAAGGAGGAAGAGAGGGAGCTTTTGGTAGGTTTTTAGTGTGTCGAATAAAAGAGGGTTTCTAGTGAGAGATTAGGGTTTCCTGTTCCTATTTTAGAGAGAGTGACATTCAAAGGGGGAATAAGGAGATTTGGGCATGCCCTAAGCTAGAGGAGTGAAGATTCTTACCTCTCAAAGGAGATTCAAGCAAGGAGTAAGGAAGATTGTCATCTTTTCATGGCTCTTTCTCTCCTTTTTCTTGTTTTTCTTTGCCTAGCTATGGAATAGCCCACCTTATCACTTGGGTATTGTGAATCCTAGTCTAGATGTGTGTTAGGAAGTAAAAACATGATTCTATTGTGTTGATTGTGTGTTTTATATAATATTTGAGGTATTAATCATGAATGATTGAGTGTTGCTAGGTGCTAGCATTACCTCATTGTTGGGTCAAATTGACCTAGAGGGTGGCAATCCCATTTTGGCCCATAGGGAGCTTGACCTCCTAGCCACTTGGGTAACCCCTTCTAGGTTATTATAGGGCCAAAACCTCAAGTATAGGA